AGCTGAAAGACGCTCAAGTGTGAACGATGTCTGAATCTTTCATCAGTGAGCCTATGGGGAGATCTCGAAAATATGTAGTGTTGGTAACCATCAAAGATCATAAGAAAATGCTGCCCTGTGGATTGAAATTATTAAAATCGTATAGGTACTTTTAATTGTATGCTCCACTAAGGCAGGGACTGATTGATTAGGCCAAGTTCACAGTTAGGTGATTTGGAATTCAAACTGCACTAAAATCATGACAAATTACACATCCATAATGTCACCCCAAACGTGGTGTGTTTTGCCACGATTGTCACAAGACAACAGAAAATTTGGTCCTTGAGCTTCTCTGCCACGACAACGCACATAGGGCAGCCCATTCAGGTGAATGGGATGCCCTATGCGCAACACATGGAATCATATAGAAATCATCCACATAAAATCGTGAGCGGGAACGTGAGTTCCTATTACACAAAGTGTGAATGGAGCCATCACAAGTGTATTTGAAAAGCACAGTGTAAATGATAAGTGAAATAACAAACATAACTAGAGTGGAGCCCATAATAAAGACTATGGGTCCTTTCACCATACCTTGCAAAGTCTTGATTTTGGAGTGGAGTAGAAAAGCCTGTACCCTGCTAGCATTCTTTTGAAAGGGACCATTGCTCTCCATGGGGAAGCAGTGATTTCTTTGCAGAGGTCTGACATGCCCCCCACTGAATCAAAGCCAGAGCTCTCCAATCAGCTAGGAGAATGGGCTAATTACAAAGCTATAGGACTGACCCAGTAGGAGATGTAAGGGACTTCTGCAAGGAGATTACTGCTTCCCTACAGAGAGAAAGAGAGACCAACTCTGCAGCTGCTGGCAGCAGACAGGCTTTTCTATTAAAGCTATGGCTGCTTTAGAAAGAAAAAAAGCTATAATACAATAAATACCATTTGCTTTGATGCACCTGCATGGGAGTAGCATCAGGGGTCACAATTGTGACACATTAGGCTTTGTCATTGTGTCACCCAAAAAAGCAATGAGTGTGGGTGGTGGGGTCACCTGAGAGGCTGGTACGTGAGGAATGTAACGGGACAGACCATGCCCCTCCACACAGGGGCCAGGTGGGATGGGGCTGCTGAGTGGAGGAGGAATGATACCTGAGGATGCACAGTAGCAAGTGGTACATGGATCTTCTCATCCCCAACTTCCCTCTGCTTCCTTGCAGCCCTCTGTCCTCCCTGTCTTTGTGAGCTTGTTCCACCCCTCCTCTCTTGTCAGTCCCCGATAGTCACCTCCCTTTTCTCTTGTTACCCTACCCTTGATCTGCTGTCAGTCACAGCGGGGGCCCAGCTGAGGATAATGCTCTCCGAATGGAGCTGGTCCTGGTACCGGAGATACTACAAAAGGGCAGCAAGTTCATCAAGTGAGAGGAAGTGAGAGTGAAGCATGGAGGGAGGGGGGGATGTGGAGGTTGCTGAGAACATTCTATAGTTCAGGACATAGGGCTGCGGGACTTCTACACAGTGTGGGCGACTGAGACTTCCCCAGACTCCCCCCGTACTGGGGACATCCCATGTGTGAGAGAGTAAAAGTTACTAATATGGGGGAGGGGGTGAGCCTTGGATATGCTGGGACTTGTAGTGTGCAGGCAGCAGAGGGATCCCTGTGTGACATGAATGGACCCCAACACTGGTGTAGCATCAAGGGTCGCAATGTCAACCCCACCTATGCTCCAGGGGCCCATGCGGCCTCCCTCTCACATTCAGTTTTACATCTGGATAGGGGCAGTGGCAGAGGTGGCATATACAGGAACCAAACCCCGTCTATTCTCTCCTGCAGCCGCTGCAAGCTGGCTTCATCTTCTCTACCCCCCACTGACATTTAGTGGCTGCAGGAGAAAAATACAAGAAATCAGTTCCTGTATATGCCACCCCTCATGTCAAGGTTACTCCTATTTCTCCTGCCCAGGCTCCCTGTGTGCTCCCCTGCCCCCTCCTCCTGCACACAGTGTTGCCAGCTTCTCTCCTCTCCTTCCAGTTGCTGCTTTCAGGATGAAGAGCGGGGGAAAGGACAGGTAAATATATTATATTTGCCAACCCCTTCCTTTCCTGAATGACCACAGTGAGCGATCAGTACTCATCACTCCTGTGTCCATTCATAACTGAAGCATAGTAAACTGTGTTTACTATGCTTCAGTTTGTAAATGAACAGGAAGCCTTAGAGTGCTTTCTATTCACTCATCTACGCAGTTGAGGATGCAGAGATAGAGGTTGAGGACTGTGTCCTCAATCTCCTTTCTCGGTCTCAAAAGTGAGACATCAAAGATTTATTTAGACCCTTGATGTTTCACCAAAGCCCCCCAACAGGGCTGCTAAAAAAAGTGTTAAAAATGAAATTTGTAAATAAAGAAAATAGTGGCAAATATTTAAAAAATAACATAACAAAAATAAAAACACTACTGACACCACCCACTGCTTTACTGGCCACGTCCTCTGCCCCACTGATGTCATCCACTGCCCTAATGACATATCCACTTCCCTACTGACACTGTCTACGGCCCTACTGAGACTGTTCACTGCCCAACTGACTGACACTGTCCTTTTTTAAGGTAGGCTAAGTTTATATTTTTGCAGTGTTATTCTATTTATCTCAGTTTTCCTCACTATTTAGTTATGCCTTGCTATTTAATGTCTTAAAAATAAAAGGAGCGCTGAACCCGGTGACCTTTGATGTCATTCAGGTTGTTTAGGTAAATTTCAACCTCTCAAAGCTTGCCAACCCTACTCTGAGGAATTTAAAAGAATTGGAGAGGTATGTCAAAATGTGGACAGTTCTTGAAAATATTTTTAATTACCCAATCAATATGTAAATAAAGGTCTGAACTATACTGTATTTTGGTGCTTTAAACTTAATATTCATTTGGACTTTAGGTTTAAAGATAACATGGGAAGGGAGGTTTATCAATAGTTACACCTTGAATTTAAGTAAACCTGTTGCTTTGCCTTTCTTTTGTCATGTTAGCTCTGCATTTTTTTGACATGAGCAAAAGAAAGTCCTGTGTAAGCTATGAGTTGCTGAAGACTTAAACCGTCCATAGATGAAACCAACTTTGGCTGGTTCCTGCTGAACCAGATGAATTTCAATCCATCTATGGGCAGGCTTGAGTTTGATCGACTTCAATACAACCAACCTGTTTAAATTATAAAAATACAGTGCAGACCTTCTTTACAATAAATGTAAACCTAAAACAACATTACTAAGTAAAAATTACAATCTATGGTGAACATATATCAATAAAAGTGAACATGCATTAATTGAAATAAAGTCTCTAAATAGTGATTTCTTCAGAATGAATCTCAAAACACTCCACCACAAATCACCAGATGTGTGCCGTCACCTGGAGTATTTGACCTCACATTATGTTCAGTCAAAAAACTCATGTGTCCCTTGAAGTGGACATGAACCCTGGTTTAGATTCTTCCTCCAGGGATCTATCCATGGTCAGAGCAGATGAGTGAAGGATCTCTTTGTATTCCTGTTTTACAACACTGTTCATTTGAAAAGCGTAATATATCTGGTACGATGTAGCACCTATACAATGTGAGTGGCCACTTTTATGTTTTAATAAAGCTGAGTATTTTTAAGGAAAAAGCACTATTGTGTTTCTTATCTTTTTTTATCATATACACTGAGTGGAGGAGGAGAGATCAAGAGAGTGTTGATCTCTGGAGGAAAAATCTAAACCTGGGTTATACCTGCCAGTTCATGTCCACTTCAAGGGGCACATGCATTTTTTGACCAAACATAATGTGAGGTCAAATACTCCAGGTGAGGGCATAACTGGTGGTTTGTGGTGGAGGATTAAGATGTATAAATATTTGAAGTGTTTTGAGATTCATTCTGAAGAAATCACTATTTAGAGACTTTTTTTCAATTAATACATGTTCACTTTTATTGATATATGTTCACCATAGATTGTAATTTTTATTTAGTAATGTTGTTTTAGGTTTACATTTTTTGTAAAGAAGCGCTGCACTGTATTTTTATAATTTGAATTGATGCACATGACATGAGTATGTGGCTAGTGTAAACTGCTTTTTGGTAGTGTTCATTATTTTTCATTGGTATAGCACATTTATTGCTCGTGAGGTTCTTTTTGATTAGGTTTGTACAACCAAACAGAAACCAGAAACCAGCACTCATATCTCATATGGAATCTAGCACTCGCAGAGGTGCAGCCCTTGATAGATCGGGGAATCTTGATACTAGCAGAAAAAAACAAAACAGGGCACACTCTCCTCGTCCATTACCGTAGTAAAAAAAAATGTATTATAAAATTACAAATGCATGCTCACAAGCCAAAAAGGTCATAAAAACAGACAAGGAGTCAAAGATGCCAGTCATGGGCAGCAGAGGTCCTCGGGTAAAAGTGCTAAAGCGTTTCAGGAGTCGAACTCCCTTCCTCAGAGCAATAGATAAAACACAATGTATAAGGATGGTTTTATATATGAGACCCCAGCCACTCCCCCTCTGTGCAAAAAAAGGGGGGCGGAATGCTCCGAGTGACACCCAAAAAAAGGGAAGAAATCCCAAACGTAAATATAATAAGTGACTGTGATATGGCAATAAAAAGTGCTTACCAGATGGACTGATCAAAACACCTTGGATATAAAGCATTATAAGTAAATGTAACTTTACTCTGTGCATCTACAATGCGCTCCTCTGCTGCCCATGACTGCCATCTTTGACTCCTTGTCTCTGTTTTTATGACTTTTTTGGTTTTTGAGTATTTGTAATTTTATAATAAATTTCTTATTATTACGGTAATGCACGAGGAGAGTGCGCCCTGTTTTGTTTTGTTTTGTGTTTTTCTACATTTGTACAACCAGCCTGTTTGTTTTTTTCAAGCAATCAGTATGTTGCCTGTGGGAAAGGATCCATATACTCTCAGCTGGCAAAACACAATAGCACTGTGGGAAGGATGCCACTATCAACACTGTCTGTGCTGATGGGGAAATTTGTATAATATATGGCTAGCCTTAACTTTGAGGCAGGGGCGGACTGACAACTCATGGGGCCCCCGGGCAATAGGGGATCATGGGGCCCCTGTGTCCTTGCCCAAACTCAAAAAAGCCTATGAAAAAGGTACCAGGGGCATCTCATGGGGCCCCCTACTGACCCAGGGCCCTCGGGCAGTGCCCGAGTTTCCAAATGGTCAGTCCGCCCCTGCTTTGAGGAATGTGAACTCTTCATGTGACATCACTTGCTCACTGTTATCACATGGAGTGAGTCACATGCTCTTCCATACCCAGAAGTACATGATATTTTGCTCCTCAATAGAACGTAGTGCGAAAAAAAAAAGTAAGTATATGCCGGGAGGGGGTGGAGGATTAAAGCAAACTTGATGCATTGCCCTGAATGAGCAAATAGCATGGTGTGCCTTAAGTACCTAAACTCACACCTGCCAAGTGTGCATGGCATTATGTTAATTGCATTATGGTGATTGCATTATGTTAATTGCATTATGTGATGGTTTAAAGGCCAGGGAATCTATCCTACCGGATAAATTAAATAAAGCGCTTGGATGAGTTTTTAAGGATAATCAGCATGTCCAGCAGAGTTTGATTTACTAACGTCAGTTATATTACAGGTTATGTTAGTAGTCCATACTTACAGATTTAAACAACTATTCCACTCGAAACTATAGATAAGTTTCTGTATAGACCGGAGTCCTCCTTTAATCCTGTCTCAGTCTGTGAAAGTTGTTACTGTAGCTTCTGTAAATCACTATTAGTACAGCACTCTTGAATTCATTCATGCATAACAATAAACCTTCCTCTAGAATAACAGATGATAAAATGTAAGTGCTCTTTTCTGCAATAGATGAGTCACATTTTATCCACAGGTAGTCTGCCATAATTATCCAGTCAAGGAGCGCAATAAATAAAATCCCCTCTGCTTTATTTTCCTCCCCTTTATTTATTTATATCATGACTGGTGAGGCTCTCGTCTACCCACAGAGATCCAAAGGAATTTTAGGCAAAATAAGAAATAATTATAATAAAAGTCATAAAAAAAAACTAGAGATGAACGACATTCCTTCTGGTTTATTCTTACTAAAGCAAGCCTTGCATAATGTGACCGTTATTTAAAAAATACAAAATAAGGTACTGCTTAGTAACAAGAAAAGGAAATTTTCATCATGATAAGAGTCAATCACTATATACTGTATATACATATTGTGGGAACTCGCTTCAAATGGTAGAGCTCTTCTTGTTAAAGCACACAGCAACTCGCTTCATTAAGGGCTTTTTTTGCCCACTTTTATTTAAAAGAAAAAGTTCAACAAAAATGCTTCCCACGCAGGGGTATCCACCATCAAGAAATACCAACAAAGATTCAGCCTCCTGGCTTGTACACAGTTCACTGTCTGTCTCCTGCAGACTCTTCCCAAATTATGGCCACTAGCACACAGCTAGTCTGGCTTCCACCTGACTCCAAGGCAGAGACCTCCCGTCTGGCAGGGTGGAGCCCTCCTGACTCCTGTCTGCCGGGGTGGAGCCCTCCTGACTCCTAACTGCCGGGGTGGAGCCCAGAACCATGGTTAGGCCTCTACAAAAAAGGCCTGTACACACCTGTGCAATCAGTGTGCTGGGGGTTCTCAAAACACAGACACAGATTGGAGATTTCATCCCTCCCAGATCTCTTTGAAATCTCCAGGCTCCAGATCCCAAAACAGACTTAATGAGTAAATGAGGAAACTGAAAAGCCAGTTTCCTCTGCAATCCATCAACTCTCTGGAGCCCCTCAACCTGCCTGGTTGAGAATCCAGGGGTTTTCAGCTTTATTTTGACCGTGGCAGGACACCGCACTGCCACAATATATATAGCGAGACCTCTGAAACTGTTTTTTTTTTTCTTTTTACACTGCAGCTACTGCCATTCTAACACACAATAAGGTGAAGAACACCAGGGTAGATTGATACTATAAATGTATTGGAAGATATGTTAGTCAAATAAAGGCAGGGTAATATAGACCTTTGACTAAAATGTAATAATACACTGGTTGATATACAGAGTATTTCTATACCAAAACACACACAGAAAGCAGCACAAAGGGGTAATTGGGCCAAGTTCTCACAATTTACCCCGACCAGCTTAAATTATAATAGAGTCACGAAAAAGTGCAGCAAGGGCAGCTTGACAAAGGTTAAATATAAACCCCTGGAGGCTGCACTGCCCCTAGAACACCAAGGTGACCATGTCCAAGTCTGTCTGCACAACTTTGTTTTAAGGTAAGGCAGTACTAATGGATTATGGATGGTAAAATTTATATAGTTTGATGTGAGACAGAATGGTGTAGCCTCTGAAGGATTATTTCTGTCCTTAGGGCCTTATTAGGGGTGCATGGCTGGTAAAATTGGCTGCCTCCATCTGTATACAGTTCCAAAGAGTAACTATCCTGAAGGTGGGTTAGGTGGAGTTGGTGTAAATAAAAACTTCAAATGAAGCAGAAACTGAAACAGGTTCTGAAACAAAGTCAGTTCTAGGTCAATGGAACAATCCTGGATGGATGCTGTGATTGTATACTAGAGTATGTTAATAAGCAGGGCAACACCAAGGAGCAGGAGGATAAGGCTGTGTTAGAGGACTAGCAGGATCTCAGTTTCTGCTGTACAGTATGTGCAATGGGTTGACAACCCTCTCACCAGTCCTGTTGTAAGGGAATTCCTGCGAGACGGCTGGCTAATAGAAATGCTCATGTGCACAGCAATCTCTGCAGAATAGTGATCAGACGTGCGCATGTGCACAGAAATACACAGTTGCGCACAAGCACGCGCACTTGCACAGTGAATATTGGCACCAGATGGACTATTTAAAGGATGCTTCTGCCTGTGCTTAGTGCTGGCTGGTCTTCAGCTGTTTCCCTGTGTCTTGCTACATTCTTGTATGATCCCCTTGTTGCTGCCCCGGCTTGTTCCTGACCTGACTTCGGATTCTGCTCCTGCCTTGTTGCTAGTTCTTGTTCCTGGCTCTGTTCCTGACTTCAGCTTGCTCATGATTTGGTACCTCGCTGTCTACCCATTGATGATCTTGGCTATTCCTGTGACCTTGCTCCTGTCTCCGATCCCAGCTTCCTGTCCTGCTTGAGTGCCGTCCACTATGCCAGTTCTGCTCACCATAAACTGTTCCTGCTTTAAGTTGGCTGGGAGATCTGACACGTCACTTATCCTGAACCTGTTGTGCAAGCGGAATGCTCTTTTAACGCAGGTGGGATTCCGAAACATTCGCTACCATTCCTGAATCTGTGGTTTTCCAGTCTCTTCAGGACTCCAACTGCAAGCTCTTCAGGAAACACCTGCTGGCACTCTTGTTCCCCTGGTACCTCGGCACCCTCTGTTCCACTTCCAGCAGGGTCAGGACTAGTGACACAAGTGAGGCCGACTTTGTAATTTCATTCTCCTACCAGGTTCATGACACTGGTTCTTCAGCCATAAATACCGATGGTGGAGGGGCCCCTCATGGATAGATTGCTTGAGCTCCAGTTAACCCACTCTGTAATGCAGCAGTTGACCAGCAAACCCACACTGGAACAGAGTGTAGATGCAACAAATGGCTGGCTAACCCACAGTGCAATGCTGTGGATGCAGCTGAGTAGACCACATCAGTTCAACGCATAAGCCTGGAGGCCTGCTCTCTTCCCCGTTCTGCCGACAAGTGGCCTGAGCCTGTCTGAGCAGATCACTAAGAATACCTCTGCTCCTCCCCAAAGCCTGCACAGCTTCCAGGGAACTGTAATTTTTTCAGTTTTTTTTTTTTATTCTTTTTATTGTTTTGAAGAAAATATAAATGTACAAAACAGAGCCTCTGGGCATACTCCTGGTCAAGGTAGTACAATAAAGTATACAGTGCAGTAGAGAGAAAAAAAAAAGGTAAACAGGTAACACTGAAACAAAAACCTGTTCTTGCTACTCATAAGACACAGAGGTCACCTTGCAGGCACTAAGGTCTGCAAGCTGTAGGAATGATTCACCCAGAAGATACATCCCATCACACCATCCCAAGGCATAGATAGTAAAGTTCCACAGTCCATGGGGTCCAACTACTTGGGTCCAACTACTTGGAAACAACCAATGTGGAGGATGGCGGCTGTTATAAGAAATGCTTACTTTGCCTTAGGTAATGGCCTTAGAATCTACTGTATGCATTTCTCTCAGTATAGGTTTCCCTGGGAATCAGATTTAATGCAAATGCATTTAACCTTTTTAGAAAAGCAAACATAAAATAAGTACAGTTATTCTATGTTACAGTGTGGACTGACAGCCTTTTAAAGTTCGCTATGCAAATAATTAAAAACACTAAAACCTGACAGGTTAATTGAATGGGATCCTTTTAAAACCGCCTAGCAGAACCCAGAGATAATCCTCTTACTTGAGACTTTATTTAATCTGGTCTCCTTTACAAATGAGCACTAAAGCAAATATTCTCCAAATGCACTCAATTTAAAGCACTTCAAATTCAAAATTATTCATGCATTTTATTACATTTTTGTGCTGAATGTCATTTGGTTTAAATCACATTCCGTGGCTGCAGTTTAGTTCTTGGACCATGTAAACAATACAGCAGTAAAACAATGACTCATATCGCCTTATGTATTATAACATTTTTCAAAGCCTTATAGGAGGCTTAAAGGGAAAGTAAAATGTTTAGAAACATATGTTTTATATATATTTTTTACAGTTATTTATGTAATAATAATAACACGAAAAATAAACACTTAGTCTCCATTCACACCTATGCAGTTTACTTTTTTGCCGTTTTGCAGTGCTTTTCGCAGTTCAGTTTGCATTTTTTTTTATAGACGCGTTTTTGATGCGTTTTTACCCCGTTTTGCATTTTGTTCAGCCCTTTTTATTTTTAAAAGTGGATTTGTTTTTCCTGTGCAGAATCAAAATGCAGACCATGGCAAAAACACACTACCATGCATTTCAGCAGGTTCTCCATTGACCTCTATTGTAGGAAAAACGCTGTTTTTTGCTGTTAAAAAAGTCCCTGACCTTTTCCAAAAACTCAGCAGCTCAAAAAAGCATAGAAATGAACATGTTCCATAGGAAACCATGTTATATGAACTGTAGTGTGTTTCTGCAAAAAAGCAAAAAGCACTAAAAAACGCATTGGTGTGAACGGAGTCTTAAAGAGGGATTCCTCCATTACTCTCAGTTTGCAAAGCATGCTGGG